GACTATTAATTGATTGGATCCGTACAAAAAAATCTCACTTTTTTTTTTTTTGGTGAGGTCTCACTTTCTTCTCTGCCCATAAAGAGAGAGAAACTGAGAAAAGCCCTAACTTTCTCTCACTAGACAAAAAAAAATTTTAAACAAAGAAAGAGAAATTGCATAAATGTATCTACACCAAAGATGTTGAAGCCATTCCAATGCTCTACTTCTATACCAAAACTACTGATCAGTGATCATTAATCTTTTTTAGTTCCTATATAAATATGAAGAAAAAAAAATCAGGTATCCTTTTTATTTGTCTCTATGTATAAATATAATATGAATTGAAATTTTTATTTTGCTTTTTTTTAGGAACAATAATCATATTGGGTATTGACCAAGTGTGAAATCTAATATCAAATGGTCAAAAGTAGTAATAGCTTCCAAATTAATTCATTATGACATAAACCTTCTTGTCAGAAGTCAAGAACTGAAACTAACAAAACTTTATAATAATATATATATAAAATTGGAAAAATGAAAGGAAATAATATCTGTGTGATGACGTGATCAAAGATTCTGTAACAAAGACAACAAATCTTACAGAGACCAAAACCTAATCTTGCTCTCAATCTCAACCTCCAAAAGAAAAAAGTTCAAATTTTGTTAAAAATAAAATAAGAAACGAAACTCTGATATAGTTTAGTGACCACTGGATATTTAAAAAGTTAATTAGGTAAATGAAGATTTAATTTTCATTCGTTGATTTGAAATGTTTGTTAGCTTTTCCTTTTTTTGGACATGAGAATTATATATTTTCAGGTCATGAGTTGACATGTTTTAAAACACCATTTAATTTTGACATGTTTTATGTTTTGATGTAGAGAAGAGAAATCACGTGGATTCTAATAAATATTGGAAATTACGTGTGGAAATATAGGTTACTAGTTTGAGTAAGATAATTCCAAATGGTTTTGATTATTTTTAATTTTAAAAAGAGTAATTTTAAGGAATAAAGAGACCCCATCAGAGTATTTTCCTTAATTAACTCCTTACTTAATTGACTATATTCTTGAAACCTTGAAACTCCTATTGAATTTCAAAATCTTTTATGGTTGAAGTTGAAAATCTTCTTCTTTTTTGTTTCTTCTCTACTTTGAATATTTCAACAAGTAGTACAAAAAAGTTAATTGAAATTCTCGATTAAACTTCTATGTTTCTTTTGGGCTATAACCACTTTCTAACTAAATCCTAGCTCAAATTCAACATTCATCAAGACAAAAAACCTTATGAACATATTGTCCTACATGTACTTTCCATTATTTCTATCACTCATAAGTTGAAGATTTCTTCAAATTCAAATATCTATTTATTCACCTTATTTACTATCACTCACAATCACATGTGTGTTGTATCAAAAATATGATATATGATAATTCAT